GAGAGAGAGAGAGAGAGAGAGAGAGAGAGAGAGAGAGAGAAGGGGGAATGGCAGCCATATCTGCCAAGCTCGGGAAAGAAGACAATCAGTAAGAAGAAAGAGAGAGACGCAGAGAGAAGGAAGAAGAAGGTGACGAAGAGGGAGACAAAGTCAGCCATAGCCAAGGTGGAAAAGACGAAGGTTTTGACGAAGAAGAAGAAGGTCCACCATAACCTGAAGGTTGGAAGGTTGACCGGGGGAGTTGACCAACGTTGACCAGGAGTTGATCAATGTTGACCAGGAGGTGACCAACGTTGACCGGTTGTTGACCAAGAGTTGACCAAGGGTGTTGACCGGGTGTTGACCAGGAGCGTTGACCGGCGAGTTGACCAAGACCGTTGACCAGATCGTCAACCCAGCTGGAGAGAGAAGATTACCGGTACCATACAAATTGAGACAGAAAGGGACACGGTGAGGAGGAAGCTGAAGGAGGAAGAACAACAAATGGCATGGAGATACCGGCTGTCCCAAGAGAGGGTAAGACGATTGGAAGTGCCGGAAAGGGCAGAGAAGGACCTGAAAGCGGCGGAAGCCAGGATGGGGAAGATTGGGGCCGAAACTGAGATAGCCACCAAACTCGCTACCCTGACCCAAAGTGTAGAGTCGTTACTAATTGCTTACCGCGAGCAAAGGCAATTCATCCACACCTTAGAAGTAAAGATAGATGCAATGCGCGCTGGGGTCAAGGGTTTTGCGAGCCACATGATGAAGTGCTTACTGGCTGAAGTTCATAATGCAATTAGTAAGACCCAAGAGTTCTGCATGGGCGCCATTGAAGGCGCCAAGTTGGCGACTCCTAAGGAAGAGGAGCCGGCCCCACCACGCCGTGAGAAAGTCAAGGTCCGCTTTCCCGAACCCTTCAGTGGAAAGAAGGGTGAGGATTTCGATAACTGGGAGGCCAATGTGCACTCTTACCTGTACTTATAGGGAGTCACGCCTGAGAACCACGTTTTGGTGGCCTTCCAGGCCCTTAGAGGCGAGGCAACTAGCTTTGGTCGCTAGCCCGCGCTGCGAACTGTGAGAATGATATGGTTACATATTCGAGACTTACACCCCTCTCTTAGTTCTTGAAATCACTCAGGGAGCAATTGTCAGATGTGACGCGGGGCCTCAAAGCCTCCAACAAACTCCAAATGATACACACTCGCCAGTGGAAGAGTGTGCACGCTCTCAAGTCCGCCATGGACTAACTGATTGCGGTCCTTGGGCATGGAGTAACCGATGCCCAGGTTCTTAACCTCTTCTATCGTGCCTTGCCTGAAAATATTCAGGGTCAATTCTTCGAAAAGAAGAATCAGCAGGGCATGACTTATGATACACTTAGTCGGGAGACAGTTGCATTTGCCGCCCAAGCGTCGCCAGTTACCACGTTCTGGCACAAAGATCTGTCAAAGGGAAAAACGTGGAAGGGACGCACCATCTCGGGCCAAATCAAGGCCAAAGATAGTTTAATTCTGGCAATGGAGAAAGGTGGTGCTGACAAGGTTCCTTACTCTGACATCGAGTGGGGACTGAAGGAGGAGAACAACAGCGCAGGACAGGGGAGAACCTACGCTGCTGTTGCGGCCAGAGGGAGGCCGCAAGGAGGAGGACAACAGTCCGACGAGAATGGTCGGGCCCCAGGTGGCCGAGGACAGGGCGGCCAGGGGGTTGGCGGCAACGGCAACCGCCAAGAGGGAGGAAGGGGAGGTCCCCCGCCTAACCGTCCGCGTTTTAGTCGGTCACCCCCCAGACAAGGAAGGTGGCACCCAGTCCGGCCCGAGGGTCGACCTTGGCTAGATCTGGGTATAGATCAGGGAGTACGACAAGCACGCATTAACAGTTCTCAATGCGTATTCTGCGGGGACCCAGGCCACATTATCAAAATTTGTCCTAAATATAGGGACCGTGCTGCGTTTGGGGCAGCAAAACACAGCCGCCGGTAGGGGTCGCAACTGCCCCTACCCCAGGAGTATGTGGATCTGAGCGTGCGCGCGAAGTAGAGTTCCCACTCCACATATCTCCATGGCAAAGGTTGCAGGCCAGCGTGTAGTAAGTTGTCCAGAGACTGCTTGTGTTAGGGTCTCTCTAGACGCTTCCCTCACAGGCTTAGCCGAGGAGTTGAGAGAGAGGAGGCAAGCTTGGGCCAAGATGAAGAAGGATTGTAAAGGACAGCTAATCCTTGCAGACGTAGAAATATTTAGAGCTTGAGTAGGAGCCCTAATAGACAGTGGGGCGACTAGGAGTTATATCAGTCGTAAAGCGTTGAAGAAGTTAAAGCTAAATCTAAAAGTCCAACGTTTAGAGGAACCTGTAGCTAGCATCCTTGCAGACAATAGCAGGATGCGTGTTGAAGAGTATGTTGAGGGGGTCCACACCTACTTTCGCCTAGAGAAACATGGGAAGGTAGAGAAGGTTTTGCACTCCTTGACCATCCTCGTAGAAGAGAGTCTCAAGTCCGCCTGTTCCATGAGTCTGGGGTAGATAATCCCCTTGCCCATTGCTGCCTCAGCGCTCCTGCATTCGCTAGATTTGTGCGAAAGGAGCAGCTCGAAGAGCAGGTGTTTGTAGCCTATGTTAGGCCAATTTCTGACCAGCCTAAGGAAGAGGAGAATATCCATTCTCCTATCGCCAGTCTGCTGGAATAGTACAAGGATTTATCGGAAGCACCTTCATGAGTTGTGCCCAGACCAATCCAGAACCTGGCAGTAAAACACCTAAGGGGGCAGTCTACAGGATGTCTCCCAAGGAGTTAGAGGAGCTTCGCAGACAGTTAGATGAGCTCCTAGAAAAAGAATGGATCAGGCCTAGTTCGTCACCGTTTTGTCCCAAAGAAGGAGGGAGAGCTTCGCATGTGTATAGATTACAGGGGACTGAACGCCATCACAATTAAGAACGCAGAGCCATTGCCACGTATAGATGACTTGTTATATCGTGTGCAGCGATGCAGGTACTTCTCAAAGATAGACATGAAATCGGGGTACCATCAGATAGAGGTGCATCCCGACGATCAGTATAAGACGACGTTCATAGTGATGTCGTTTGGACTTACTAATGCACCAACTACATTTCAGCGCTACATGAACGACTTGTTTAGGCCATGGTTAGATAGGTTCATCGTAGTGTACCTAGACGACATCCTAGTGTTCAACAAGACCCTCGAGGAACATGAGGGCCATCTACGACAGATTCTAAGCAAGCTGCGAGAGTCTAACTTAAAGATTAACCCGAAGAAGTGCGAGTGGGCCAAGACACAGGTCCTTTACCTAGGCCATGTACTAGACGGCGATGGCATTCGGCCTGAGGACAACAAGATTGCATCCATCAGAGATTGGCCGACTCCTAAGACGTTCACAGAGTTGCGCTCATTCCTAGGACTGACTAACTACTACAGGAAGTTCGTGAGGAACTTCTCCACGATCGCTGCTCCCCTTCGTAGACTTTTGAAGAAAGAGACTATCTGTAAGTGGGACCAGGATTGTACGTCAACCTTCAAGAAATTGAAGAAGGCTTTGATAAAGTACCCTGTCCTCAAAGTTGTTGATCCATCATTACCATTCGTTGTAACTACAGACGCGAGTCAATATGGCATAGGTGTCGTTCTACAGCAAGATGACGGCAACGGTTATAGGCCCGTAGAGTTTATGTCAGCTAGGCTTCCCTCAGAGAAAGTCGCAGCATCGACATATGAAAGAGAACTCTACGCTCTCAGGCAGGTTCTAGAGCACTGGAAACACTACCTGCTTGGGAGGCACTTCAAGGTTTACTCAATCCACGAGACTCTTAGATGGTTAAAGACACAGGCCAAGATGACGCCCAAGTTGACTAGATGGGCTGCTGAGATAGACCAGTATGACTTCGAGTTGAAACTCGTCAAAGGCAAGTATAACGTGGTAGCTGATGCGCTAAGTAGGAGATTTAATTACTTCGGCGCGATAGTGCACTATGTAGGCATAAAGACCGATCTGCAACAGAAAGTAAGAGATGCCTATGCAAAGGACCTGATCTACATTGAGCTGCTGAAAAGAGTAAGGGAAGCCCTAGATAGTGAGCCACACTACCGAACCACGGACGGGCTACATACCACTCTAAAGACATAAAAATTCAAACACTCACGCACACACACATATAAATAACGACATAAAACAAACAACTCAACAACACTCCTAGTCCCTTTTGTAGCCAAATCAGATAGGCGACGCGCGCGAGACTTAGTATAAAACCGCGCGGACGTAGGGCTTACTCATATGGACTCGCAATGCATGCATACACAAGTAGTCGCAATGGTGGCGTACTATGTACTACCCATAATTATGTGGTCCCTCGTAGTCTCGAGGGTCGCATTCGACACTCAAGTGTCGGCTGACACTGGCCTTAGGGATTGATCTCTCGACGCTTGACAACCATCAAGTGTCGTTGAGAACCACACCCTCTTCTGCACTCGGCGGACCTGTGGTGGCAATCGTCTCTTATTGCCCCGGAGACCAGCTCTATCATCCATGGTGTGGAGAGAAGTCAAGGGGGTTGACTTTGACGGCTGCCACGGATTCCAACGTCCAACTACACTAATTAACAAGCAAAATCAGTTAGAAAAATAATCAAGCATCTCAATTTCCATACATCAAATTAGGACTCGAGGTAAAATAAAGAGAGGGGAACATAAACTCATCGGGTATACAGATCATGCGGCACATGGTTGCCATTCTCATTGCCTCCAAAGTAAGGCTCGCACACAGACTCCAAGACACTAACCTGTATAAAACACAGACACATGCGAACGCTACATTGTCATACACCAATGTGGTCAACTTTACTATTCCGTGTAACTCACACCATGCCTCACACACTCAAGCCCCAGTCAGAGTCAAACTTTCGATAAATCTCATAAGTTCTTTATAATGGACATTAAAAGAAGTTCGGTTAAAACCCTTAAAGAAACATATTAGATCTCAGGGCTAAGGTATCAAGGTGAGGTACAGGTTTAAGCAAAACTGTGTCGTGAGCGGACAAGTCGACGGTCAACCAACCGACCTGTTATCAGTGATTACAGAAGATTATCCTCATAGGATCAAGATGAATTTAGTCCAGATTTTAAATCGAATCAATCAAGAGAACCTGTAACACAAGACAAACCAATTCCCAAGATAGATCTATAAGTCCATGGAGGATAATCTCCATATCACGATCTCACTCAAAAGCCCTTCTGCGAATCAGGTCTAAGTCTACCACTAAGCCAGTGCCCAAAGAAAGGTAGACTTATGGCAGAATCTCCCCCATACAGAGTGGATTGCTAGAAATCACCACTTGTCAAAATATAATCTACCTTCTCTAAACTAAGGAAATTTCGGGAGTGCTTCCCGTAGGAAAAGTGCCTTTTCAGAATTTATACTAACTCAAATATGAAATAAAAAACCGTCTCTAATTCTGGAGTGTCAAATTTTGTCTAACTCCCTGAATTAGTAAAAAATTGGGCAGCACTCCCTTTAGAAAAAAAAACTTTTTGGATTTTTACTAAGTCAGATATGAACCCAAAGCAAAACTTGAGCTCAACTAAGACAAAACTTAACTAACTTCTTAAATTTGTAAAAATTTTGGCAACACTCCCTTTAAAAAATGACTAAAGTGACTTTGACTTCTCAAGGTCCAATTTTATCTACCTCCCTGAAGTAGCAAAAATTTGGGCAGCACCCCCTTTAGAAAATGAGGTTTTCCACATTTTTACTAAGCCAAGAAGTTAGACAAACTGAATGTTGAAGAGACAAAATGTGACTAACTCCATGGTTTTGTAGAAATTTCGGCAGCGCTTCCCATAGAGAAAGTAGCTTACCAAGATTTATACAAGGCCAAGTATAATAAATGATCCCAGAAAATATAGAAATCGATCTAAGTAAAAATAAACTTTGCTCATAAAATGCAGGAATTGAAACTAACTTCTATGGCTCTAGCACGTGGCGAGCAGCTAAAGCAACTACCTACCAAACTTGAAACTTAGACTAATTAGTGATCTCACTCTGTCACATGCAAGGCCAAACCACAAAGGTAAGTACTCTCACCAGCCCCAAAGTTAACCTTATCAAACAATAGTTCATAGTCTTTCAATGATTTATCCTTTTATACCCAGCTTACATAAGGCATAAAGCTAGACCACCCAATCTTATGGGAACCTGTCTGGCTCAGCCATAAAATACACACAAATACAGGGCACTACAACTTTTCTCTTCTTTGAGCACATGACTAGGTTAGCCAGCCTAGTCGCCCTAAACCATTTAAGTATGCAAGTTATATATAACTGTCTGCACTTCGTCTTTTAAGGTAACATATGACTGAACCGGTCATCTTAGATCAAGGTTCAACCTGTCCCTTCTTACCACAATTTTATTCTTAATTCATACTTTCTTCAGTTAGATGATATGCTATAGTCAGACCATCCAATCTTATGGAAAAATGTCTGACTAGCCTGTTCATAAATAAAGTAGTATAAAATATAAACAAATTTAACCTTTTGGTTCCAGCATGTGCGCGACTCAAGACCAGACTGCCCAATCTTATGGGAACCTCTCCAGTCCTTTGCCTAAATTTCTTCCTCAAAAATAAAACAAAAGAGAGTCAGGGCCATCCAATCTTATGGAACGTGCCCAACTCTCCTTCACAATTAATAAAACATAAGAAAACCCAAAGAAGCAAGGCAACCAAGCCATCCAATCTTATGGAAAAATACTTGGTCCCTGAAAGTCAAACACATGCAGCCCTCGCAAGTCAAAGCAACCAGACCACCCAATCTTATGGGAACCTGTCTGGTCCTTCAGGCCCAAAAATAAACATAGTACTGGGCCTCCCCAAACTTATGGAGACTTGCCCAACCTTTGATTGACCTAGTCAAACACAAGCAAAACTGCCTTCCTCCCAACCTTATCCCAGATGCAATCCCACAATTTGCTTTCAGCCAGATAAGAAAACTGAAACTGACATTGCGCATACCTTGAGTCATGTCCTGAAAGTCAAACTCAAAGTTAGAGTAAGGGTACAAGCAGTATACTCAGTCCAACATAGAAGGATGTACAGATAATGGGTTATAACTGGGTTTATAGAAGGAAAGCAAATGATTGCCTCTCAGTTCCCTGCCTCTAGAACTCCTCCCGAGTTCCGGCAGAGCTCCCGCAATCGGTGGGCTGACTCCCCACAAAGTCTTGCTGCGGTCCTACGGGTTGCAATCTCGCCTGCCGCCTTCCTCTTATAACCAGGATTAGACTTAGAGTAAGAGGGCAGAAGGAGGGTTTTCAGACGCTCGAGATACAAGAGAGTGACAACTCAACTCCCAGGAGAGGGCCTTGATACCTTCACTCGCCTGATGGCCCCGCAATGGCGCCCAAGAAACAAGCCGACCGTCAAATGACCACTTTAGTGGTTAGTACGTAGCACAGTCAAGTTTTGGTCTCTCTTCAAGCTGTAGTAATAGCACTTACGTAGAACCGACCACTCCCCCAGGCCGCAATAGTCATGCACCGTTATTACACCTAAGCCAATCATAACAGCAGTTTGCCGACACCGTGCGCTCAGTAGTCGTACAGAGCAGCGTGTACCCGCTAGACAACCAGTGATACGTAACAGCTCGCCCATACTGTGCGCTCAGTAGTCGTGCGCGGTAGCTAGGCGAAAGTGAACAAAAGTAGTGGTAGGCCAATCGTACATAGACAATCGCAAAACTACAATAGTCGCAGCCTCGGTATCCAACAACCATCCCCTCACACACACCAGAGAAAGGAAGCACAGTTCGCTATCAGCAGCAGTCCATCTGCATAGCAGGGTATGCTTGCGCAGCTCACCACCCGCTGTTTTTCGAACTCAGTATCAGTAGTGTGTTCCTGCCCAGTCCACCGCCTGTAGCCCTCCACATTGTGTCTCAGCAACACAAGTGGTGCCCCGCTTTCAGACGACAATACGGGGTGGCCTGATGCTCCCTCCCTTCTCAACTATAAGTGTGGAGAGATCAAAGACAACTGCCCTCTTTCAAAAGGGGTAAACGGCGTACTGACCAACGAGTAAGTTCCCAATCTTGCAGCCGGCCGTATCGGTAGGCTAAGCAATGCGTCGTCCCTGTGGATGAGCAATGCGCCTCTCCAGCGAATAAGTCTCCAATGTTGCTGCAGGAACACGTGGATGAGCAGCTACAAATGAGACCAGGCCAAAGTGATGAGAACCATCGAGGGGACAAAGAAGAAGACCACCATGATATCAAGCATCAGACTCTCAGCAAGGCGCGAGCGGACCACGCACCCCAACACAGCCTGCCGCTCTTGCTCACTCGGTTGGCTACAAACATCCCATTCATTCAAGCCCTTGGGATCACGGACTCTCCACGCTCTCTAAGCAACGGTGTACATGTTTAGGTAGGTATCTCTCCCTACCCCCCCTCTCATTGCGTCAGTTGTCGACCCCCCTTCTCCTTCACGTTTACCACGTACCCTCTTCTTACCTGTAGGCCGAGCGCTACAACGATGAACGCCCTGTTGAAAAGCGCTCGATCGACGAACAACGCGAGGGGGAGCACTACGTCAAGGATCACCTTAATGTCGGGTGGCACTAGTATCTGGAGGAGGACGGCCAGCAGAAGGATGGCGACACCCATGTCGGTGGGGAAGCTGACCACCACCATCCCTTTTAACAATGACGAGTAACACAGCCCGCCGTCCCGTCTCCTAGAGTGTCACAATTTGAGAATGAATCTCCCGCTAGAAAGCGGCCAGATTCATGTCTTCCAGCCACGCGCGCAGTGCGCTAGAGAGTGGCTTCTCCCATTGAGTATGGTCCAAATGAATCTATCGCTATAATGTAGGTAGGTTCATCCCCCCCCTTCTTTCGTAATTTCTTATCCTTCATGCAACTCTTGCCCCTTGTACCGCAGAATCCTTCGCCCCAACTCGAGATCCGCCTTCACCAACGTACTCGCTCAGTCCTATAATACCGAATTTCGTTAAGAAACGGGTAAGTTATACTAATTTCGCTTCTTCCCCTTCACCCGTTCTCCATATCCCACGCACCACCTTTTTGTACTAACCCCCTTTTCACTAACTTCCTATCAAATCTAACTTCGGAATCGGGGTCGCCGGGCTCGAAGACCCCAAATTCGACTCTTCCCTCACCTGTTTTCGTCCACGAACGGGCGA